GCACCTCCCTTTCCTTCCTTTGATCATTAGTGCAGTGCAAGGGGCACTTGGGCTCCCATTCTGTTACCACTATTGATCACTTATCTGTAACCTAGGCCCTTTGGGAGTCCTTAGGAGACTTTGATCAGGGTGTTCCCATGTGGAGCCCTTGGACAGTGCTCGTTCCGGTACTAGAGTGGTGAGCATCTGCAGCAGCCTTGCTGTGGCCACTGGAAGCTTGCCCTGAATTAGTTTCCTTTTCTTTCTGTGTTGAGATGAGTCCTCGGGCTGGAGAGATGGCTCAGCTGTTAAAGGCTAGGCTCACAACCAAAAATATAAGAGATGAGTCCTCTCTGTGGTTTGTGCCTCTCTGTGCCTTTTGTCCCTTTCAAGGAAGTGTTTGTCCTTTAAGTTTGGTGAGTGTCCCGGGGTCTTTACATTTGGGACTACAGGACTTGACTGTGTGTAGAAGCATGGACTGTGAGCCCTGTTAGTTTCCTGCTGCAGAATTCAGCAGTCGTCTTGGGTACAAAGAACAGTGAACTTGGGTCCAGAGGTCAGGGGTTGAGATGAACTCATCGTGCTTGGGTGAAGGGAGATGTGTGGATATCTGGTCCTTAGAAGAGCAGGGGTGCATGGGGGGAATCATTCACTTTGGAATGTGACACCTGGACATTTGGGATGTCCAACACCTGGCAGAGGGCTGGGTGTGAGGTCCCTGGGATATCAGGAGCTGCTGTGAAGAGGACTTTCTCCATCATGGGTCTCTTCTGTGAGGGCTTATAATTGGTTTCAAGAGATGGCTCGAAGGTTAGGAGCATACTAAGTATTCTTGCAGAGTGTATGAGTTCAGTTCCCACCAACATCAGGAGGCCTGCAACTTCCTGTAATTCCAGTTTCAGGTGATCTAAACTCCTGTTGGCACCTGTCCTCATATAAGTATGTACCCCCCCAACCCCAGCACACACATGTACACATAACCAAAAAATTTTTTTCTTGTTCTTTTTTTGTTTGTTTGTTTTTTGTTTTTTGGAGACAATGTTTCTCTGTGTAGTCCTGGCTGTCCTGGAACTCACTCTGTAGACCAGGCTGGCCTCGAACTCAGAAATCCGCCTGCCTCTGCCTCCCAAGTGCTGGGATTAAAGGTGTGCGCCACCACCGCCCGGCTTTTTTTTTTTTTTTTTCTTTAGAGACAGGGTTTCTCTGTGTAGCCCTGGCTGTCCTGGAACTCACTCTGTAGACCAGGCTGGTCTTGAACTTAGAAATCCGCCTGCCTCTGCCTCCCAAGTGCTGGGGTTAAAGGCATGTACCACCACCGCCCTGCCAAAAATAAAGACTTAAAGGCTTTGTAATCTGATGCATCATCATTCATGGAGATGTGGCTATTGAGATAGTTTCTTGATTTCTATTGCTTTTATACCTGGAAGGTCATGGAGGTCAGACCAGCCTTTGGTTTCCTCTCTTTAAATAATCATTTGACCTCGTGCAGGCAGAAGCTAAAATAACTAGGAAGGAGCTTGAGACAGCAGAGATCTTAGGCTTAGATAGGGGTCAAGCTCCGCTGGGGTTTTGACATTCTCTCTCTGTCCCTTCATTGGGCAACAAGGAAGAAATTAGCTGAGGCTATGTTTGGACCATGTTAGAAAGATGGTCCATTTTAAAGGCTATCCTACTGCTTACATACCTGCCTCTTATCTAAAAGTTCTGTAGACTTGCCATGCCTAGTATTGCCCAGCTGGTGGATCTGTGGCACAAGAATTCTTCTCAGACAATGGCAAGATTTGACACATAGATAGAGGTATCTCAGAGACCACTGGGCCCATCAGTGAGACCACCGGGCCCATCCCAAAAGCAAGCAGCTGGATCTGAGGAAGGGAGACAGAGCGTCACCACACAGATGGGATGGATAGTGCTAAGAGAGCTCAGTTTGGTCTGAATGGCATTCTGTTTATCACTGTTCACTGCTGCTGTAGGGGCCACTAAGGGGACTCTTCCTCAGAAGAGGACAGCAGACAGCCTGGCTCCGACCTGATCTTGGGCAGAGTGTAATTGGTCCAGAAGGATTAAGGGAAGACGCTCATGCCTGGTGGTAGTAAGGCTTAATGATGAACTGGTCCAGACAGGTGTACTTCACACAACTCTCCTGCAGTTAGCTTTTTGGGGTTGGACCAGGGAAAGGTTCCGAAAGTCATTAAAAAAGGAGTGAGTTGAACTCTGCACCCTTCAGGCTATAGGCAGCTCTTTAGGCTTCTGGCACAGGACTGCGGGACAGCAGGATGGCCTGTGGAGCCTCAGGTGTTAACACTCTCTCTTCCTTCCGTCCTGTTTTCCTCTTATCATTGTGAATCTGTGAAGACAGGTATGACTACCTGGAGCCCAGTTCTGAAGCCTCAGTTTTGAAATCTAGGCCCAAAAAAATCTATATATATACACACACACACACACACACACACACACACACACACACACACTCTTCCATGTTTATGGAGTGCAGTCACCAAAGGTTTTCACAATGAAGATCTCGGGGGTTAAACATGTAACAGTAAAAACAGACAGACACCACTAAAACACTAGTTGTTTATAAAACCTAGGAAAAACAGAAACAAAAATAACCACACGCTCCAGGAGAGTGCATTTGGCTTTACTTACTTAAAATACTGTGTGCTGTATATGATGAGTCATGCCCACAATGACGACATGGTCAGGAAACTGAGGCAGGAGTATTGCCACAAATTTGAGGGTCAGCTTGAGTTAGAACAAATGCCAAAGTTTTCTTGATGACTTTTTTTTTTTTTTGGAGAGTTCAAGGCCAGTGCCTTGAACTCACAGAGATCCACCTGCCCTTGTTTCCCTAGTGCTGGGATTATAGACATGAGCCACCATGCTCAATGCTCTTGACTTCTTAGCTTTAAAGTTTTCGATGATTCTAAAAACCACCGATTAGTCCTAGAACAGCTACACCCTTGATGGAGGGTGTGCCTACTAGATTTTTCTGCTTCTGCCGATGGTCTGGCGTCTGCCACCGCAGGCTAGGTTACTGACTCACCAGGCAGCCAGGGATTATGTGGCCTGGTGTTGGTATCCACCCAGCTACAGAAGGAAGAACAGCTTGGGCTTGCTCTGCTGTTAAAGTCTTTTCCTGCTGGGAAAAGCTCAGTTGGTAGAATGCTTGCTTAGCATGAAGCCCTGGATTTTGTGGAGACCAGAGATCCAAGGTCATTTTAGGCTACACAGTAAATTTAAAAAGCACCTGGGCTACATGACCAACAAACAACACAGCAACCAAGTTAAAACAAAACAAAAACAGACCTCTTTCCCCAAATCATCTATCTACACAGGTAACAGTTTCAGGCAAAATAGATTTCTCATTTTAAGATTACTGCCTGAAATTAAGATTCAGTCTCCCAGGGCTGGAGAGATGGCTCAGTGGTTAAGAGCACTGACTGCTCTAGGAACCATGGTGGCTCATAACCATCTATAATGGGATCCAATGCAGTGTACTCATACATAAAATAAATAAATAAATCTTTAAGATTCAGTCTCCCCAATCTCAGTCCTTCTCAGCACCCCCATCCCCTTCCCTCTTCCTTTTCTTTTTTTTTTGAGACAGAGTCTCATGTAGCCCTAGTTGGCCTCAGACTTCGAGTATAGCTGAGGCTGGTCTTGAACTCCTGCTCTCCTGCCCTCTACCTCCTGAGTGCAGGGAGTGTCATGAAGATTCTCTCATCAGTATTTCTTTACTGTATAAGCCATCAGTACAGGTGAAAATGAAAGTACTTCTGTGTTCTGCCCATGTTGTCCTGGTGCAGGCAAACTTGTGTTTCTGCCCCTTCCGCCCCTTCTAACCCCACCACTGTGCAGAGAGTTCATGTGCGTGCTAGGCAGTTGTTCTACCACCGAACTACATCCCAGTCCCTTGCCTTTATGGTAGAAATGCCTTGAGATTTCTGCTTAGTCTACCTGTTGGAAGTGAGTGGTGTGCCGTGTATTTCATAGGGTTTAGGTTTACCAGACGGTAAGATTACATTATCAGAGAATGCAGCATCTATCTCTTATAGATATCCCCCTTTCTTCTGAGTTATCGTTTTCTTTTTTTAATGTACTGTGTATGGATTGGTGTTTTGCCTTTATGTATGTCTGTGTGATCCCCTAGAACTGGAGTTACAGACAGTTGTAGCTACCACATGAGTTGCTGGGAAATAAACCCAGATCTTCTGGAAGAGAAGCTTGTGCTCTTAACCGCTGAGCCATCTCTCCAGCCCTTGAGTATTTCCTTATGATAGAAGTGTTTTACTGGGTAGAGGTGGCACATACCTTTAATCCCAGTACTCAGGTGGCAGAAGTAGAAGCAGAAGAATCTTTGTGAGTTTGAAGCCAGCCTGTTCTACAAAGAGAGTTCTAGGATATCAAGGGCTACACAGAAAAACACTGACTCAAAAAGAAAAAAGAAAAGAAGGAGGAAGAAAAAAGACTTCTGAGCACACAACTGATACTGTGTGTTTGCGTGTATGCTCCCATGTTGCCCTTGAGTGTGACAATGTAGCTTGTTCATTCTTTCCTTCTCTTTGTAGAGTCCTGGAACGGAATGTAACCCAGGTTTTATATACGCTAGGCAAGCACTATTTACACCAGGCTACAACCTAGCCAATATCAATGTCTTCCTCTTGCTGAATATGTAGTCAGGGATACCAGAAATGACAGTAAAAACGATCTTTCTTCTCCTCCTTCTCCTTCTTCTTCTTCTTCTTCTTCTTCCTCCTCCTCCTCCTCCTCTTTCTCTTCTTCCTCTTCTAACTCTTCCTTCTCCTCCTTTTCCCCTTCCCTCCTCTTCCTTCCTCTTCTAATATGTTAACCTTAGTTCACAACAAGCCTGGGTGACAAGAGCTTCTGTCAACCCTTAGTCCTCACGTGGCATTTGAATCAGGATTACCCCTGCCTCCACTTTCCAACAGTGAAAATGGAGTGCAGAGTTTCAGGCCCTACCCTGATGGCTGCCTGCTTTTGCCTGTTTCTCTACTCAGTACTTTGGCAACCCACGGTCCATCACCTCTCGGTGTGACCTGAAGGCAAACCTCATCCATAATGGCTGTGAAGATGAGATTGAGAGCCCAGCCAGCAGCACCCGCATCCTTCGGAACCTACCTCTCAGCAGCAAGGGTTCCAGTGCCACGGGCGCTGATGTCATCCAGATGACGCCGCAGGAGATTGCCGTGAGCCTCCGGCCAGGTGAGGATTCCTCAGGGTGGGTTGGATGCCGTAGGCTCAGAAAGGCCCACTGGGTGTGATATGCTAATGTGGAAGATGGGGTTGATTAAGCTCAGAGCCTGGAGATGGTGATGGGACGAAAGGATCATACCAGGGAGGGGGGGATAAGGATGCTGGAGATGAGGCTAGGTGGAGTGTCTTAGATATATATTAATATATATATATACATATATTAAGGATTGAAGTAGAGGCCGTGCCTTCATAAATGCCCTGGGGATCCATTTTTGCAACAAACATAGTAAACATGCAAACGATGATAAAAGCCCAATGTTGTAGGATATTTATAACATACAATTTCCTATTTAAGCCTTTAAAAATATTCCTTTTTATTGCTTGTTGCTTTTAATAATGTGTGTGAGTGTCTAAGTGAGTGCATGTAAGCGCCTCAGAGGCCAGAGGCATGGGACAGATTTCCCCTGAAGATGGAGTTCCAGATAGACGTGTGCTGCCTGACATGGAGCTGGAATGGACTTTGGTTTCTCTGAACCTTCTCTTCCATTTACGCCTTTTTTTTTTTTTTTTTTTTTTGAGGCATGGTCTCACTATGTAGCCCTAACTGGCCTGCAACTTGCTATTACACCAAGATGGCGTGGAACTCACAAGAAATCGGTCTGCCCCCAGAGTCCTGGGATTAAAGGCACATTTTAGCCATTTTTAATCATGTTCAGTCACCATGCTGTGCCGCCATAACTGTCTCCACACTACTCTATGTCCAACAGAAACTCTACCTAGTAGGGAACACCTCGTCACCCAACCGTATTCTGAAGCCCTGGTAACCTGTAGTCTACTTTTGTCTCTGTGACTTTGCGTCTTCTAGTGAACGCGTGCACACAGAAGCATGCGGTATTTGTCCTTTAACACAGCCTTTGCAAGGCTCATCAAACTGGAGCACAAGGCAGAACTTTTTATTTTTCTTTCTTTTTTTTTTTTTAAAGATTTATATGTAAGTACACTGTGGCTGTTTTCAGACACCCATATGAGGGCATCAGATTTCATTGCAGATGGTTGTGAGCCACCATGTGGTTGCTGGGATTTGAACTCATGACCTCTAGAAGAGCAGTCAGTGCTCTTAACCGCTGAGCCATCTCACCAGCCCGAACTTTTTATTTTTCAAGGCTGTGTGATATTCCATTATATCACTTTTTGTGTGCCCATGTATTTGTTAGTGGACATTTCGATTTTCTTCTGTTGTGAGGCATGCTGGTTTTATTTCTGGAAGGGTGCTGACAGACTTACTCCCTACTCAGTACAAGTGGCTTAGATAACGCTACTTCTAGGAAATGTTTTTCCCATCAGCAATACGTTTCTGAGAGTGTCTCATGTAGCCCAGGTTTGCCTCAAGCTCACTATGTAGATTGAACTCCTGATCCTCCTGCCTCCACCTAAGTGCTAGAATTTCAGATGTGTACCCAACACCCGAATATGTAGTGCTGGGGATCTGGCCCTGGGCTTTGTGCCTGTTAACCGAGACTGTTGTGCTAGCTAGCCATCCATTGCCTGATGTTCATTCTGTGTGTCAAGGAGCCTGTGCTTGTAGCTGAACAGGAAGTCTGAAGTTTTGAGTGGGGCAGGTGTTTACAGTAGCTGTGCTTTGGGGTCCTTTCCTGTATCCCACTGTCTGCCATACTTGACCATAGCTATTTCTAGATGGCAATCTAGTGCTTCGGACAGATTGAGGCAGGGGGTTAATTATGAATGGTTGGTGTAGCCCCGGCTTGTCCCCTAGCTGGGAAGCCCTGGGCAGGTTATTTAACCCCTCACCCTCAGGATCACAAGGTCTTCAACACCTTCCTTCATCCTTCTTGAAGTAGCCAGGGCTTCATACAAGACTGCCATCTGAAAGGACATGCGGGACATGCCTTTGATCCCAGCACTGAGAGGCAGAGGCAGGTGAATTCCAGGCTAGCCTGGTCAACATACTGAGTTTCAGGCCTGCAGGGGCTACATAGTAAAACTTTGTTTCCAAAAAAAAAAAAAAGCTGAAGTCATTATTTATTTTAAGGATATTGGCTGCTGGGCAAAGGGACCTGTGCCCCAGTGTGGGGTCTGGTGCAATAGAATGTTGGTAGTAAGCCTTCCTCAAAGCTCACTGTTTTTATACCCATTCTCACTTCCTGGTTCTGTGAGCATGCATTGGTTTAGAATGAGCTTTGAGTCCCTAGATGCTGGAGAAGTGTTTGGTTTTTCTTTGTTTTAATTATTGTGAAGCCAGAACAAAAGACGTAAGTTGGCCTAGGATGGAGTTGGCCCAGGAGGACGGGGAAGCCCACATTACTGAATTTAGTCACACGTCCTATTAACTATCATGTAAGTTCTAGTATTAGAAAGAAAGAAAGAAAGAAAGAAAGAAAGAAAGAAAGAAAGAAAGAAAGAAAGAAAGAAAGAAAG